TAGATAATGTTGATGATTGTCATACATTGTTGATGCTGCTGCTGCTGCTGCTGCTGCTGATGATGATGATGATCATCATCATACATTGCAGAGGATGCTGATATGTTGTTGATGATGATGTAAGATGATGGTATATGATTATGATGACGGACTGAATATGTAAATGACGATACTGATGGTGTATTGTGGATGATTATAATGATGATGATGGTGTAAGAAGATGGCGTATGATGATGATTATGACGATGACAATATATATTGATGAGGAGAAGGAGGAGAAGGAGGAGGAGGAGGATGGGGTAGGTATATAAGACAGGCTGGTAGACTATGTTCCAGGTTATCAATTTAAATAAAAAATGTTCACTAATGTTAACAATACCCTAAAACTATTTTTAAATACTTACGAAGAAGAGACATCTAAGAAAGCCTATAAGAAATAGACTTTGAATATTCAAGTGTGATTTGTTTGGTCGATATTTTTAATTGAGTGTGGTCATGGTAAGCCAGTTGATGTTTTATATCACTTACTTAAAACATACAAAATACATATTAATGGAATGCTTAGTGTCTCCACAATCCTAATGTGAACAATCTACAACAATCTATCCTGATTGTGTGTACTTATGACATCAAATATCGGGGTACCTCCTAATTTTTCAGGAAAAACACCAATACAGGCCCTTTCTGCATTTTCTTTACACACTTTAAAACAATACTATCGGTTTCCGAAGTGATTTCACTACACCATTAAAATTGCAAAGTTTGTATAAAATCCATGCGCGGGCAGATTAAGAACCCCACAAACCGTAGTTAAGCATAGTATAGCTTAAGATTGTGAGCAATTTCAAATGGTCGAGTACGATTCCCATATTAACCAGACAACTAATCCTGCTGTTTAAATTTGTTTTGCATGTTTGAGTAATATTGATATGACTTGTTTATATCGAGGCATGTATTTGGTTTTGTTGATTGATCGATATAATGGTCCCACAATGAAATGCTTTATAAAGCGTATAGCGATATTGTGAGTCCCTTTTGTCTCAAGATCTTTTACAATATTTCTGTTTAAAATTTTACCTCAAATATATGTTATTGTAAATCATTTTGATTAGCGCGATGTATCAACTTAATTCGCTAGGAAACTCATGAGCGAATACAACTCTTCCGCAAATATATATTCCATCGATTATTTCCCTCAATATTGAAATAGCATCCTCGCAATCGTGAATCGAGAATAAACGAATAAACCCTACATGTAAAGTCCGAAAAACGATGTAATAGCAAGACTAGCAAGTAAATCGCAGTAGTACCGCATTCTTTACCCGAAGCCTACTCGGGGAAACGAGTATATAACTTCGACATATGAAGGATATGATATAAGTGACTTGAAAGAAATATAATCATTGATATTAGAAAAGAAAATTTGATCTTTCATAGTCGTAATTATATGGTATTTAATGCCAATCATATGATATAACGAAACAAACAAAATCCATTAACGTTACAACAAATCATATTACATCCTTTACTCGATCGACCGCAAACTTTGGCTCACATAAAATGTCTAAGTAATTAAACCTCCCCTAGCTTTTTATTACCTCTTGACAAATCTTAAGCGTTTGTCAAATTTAGAAACGACTATTTTCAAACACTTCCTGGTGAAAATAAATAAATTCATGACGCAGGTGTCCCCAACTGTGTTGCTGGATACATTGCCAACAAGTAGTCATATAAAAGATAATAAAAATAAAGGTATCCTTTTATTACAAAAAGGATGGTCCTTTCAAGCATGTGTAATTTGCGGTACTCATGAGCTCCAGTTCCCACCAGATACTCATTAATCCTGAAAATATCATATTATTAATTATTTATTACGCGAAAGCATTTTTTCTGATACTCTTTACCTGATAGCTTGTATGTCGCTTATCACTGCCCATGTGTAGGTGCATCATCCCATTATCTTGGGTTGCATCAGAGACGAAATCATCAAGACCGATTGTCCTACCATATTTCAACTAATTACTACTAATAAATGCCTTTTTTTCGTTTATGTTTTTCATATTCTCTATACAGCTACAAGAAAACGTTTTGAACTAATCATTGCTATCTGGCATAGTCCTCCAAGATAGGAACACCTCCCATAATGCTCCAATATTAAAAAAGACCGAAAATTGGACACAAATTTGTTGCAAAATTATGAAGCATAATTATCATGGTATCTTACATCATAACACATTCCGGTCGCCATGTTATCTTATATCCTCTCAAACAAGTGGTTTTTTACGAAAATTCTATTCTTTGCGAATCACAACTTTCGGATTTGTTGATAACATCACCAAAACGCTGGATAGCTCAAAGAAAATGGATGTGTTAGTTATGGATTTGTCTAAGGCTTTTGTAAAAGTTAGCCACCTCTTGTCAAAGAAAAGAGAAATGATTGAAAATAAATATTAATACTTATTTCACAGCTTAACTATTTTATCTGGTGTCCTTATGGATCTGCACTGGGTTGAACCTATTTTTGTATGATCATTCCCTAGGTCAAAGAGGAAGTATATCAATTATTGGTACGACCCTCTCTTGAATATGCACGCTCTTTTTGAGAGACACACACATCAAGCGTGAATAACAAAATCTAAACAGATCATGGGAAGGAAGCTGTCAGCCCTAAGGCTAGAACTATTTTCCAGGGGCGTGTAATCGCCCAAAATAACCAGGCGATACGGTGTGTAACAGGAAAGATAATAGTGTGCTTCAACCAGGAATCGAACCAGACTTCCTAATCGACGCTCTACCGCTGAGCTAAATGTAAATTCCCTCTAGCTCGAAGCTAGAAGGCGACCGTTATCCTACGCACAATTAAAATCTGCCACAAGTGTTTTATTATCCTGATATTTTCAAAGACGTCCGATCCATCCATCTTCCTCATGCCTTCGCAGAAAAATGAAAGTATTCTAAAAGTCATGCGTGTGTCGATGTTTCTATTTCGTTTACACTGTAAACAATATTTGTGGCGAATTTAACATTTGTTTGGTATTTTGACTGTCATTTTAATAACAAAAATGTCTAGATCCTGGTTTTAAACGTCTGTTAGTTATAAACATCATGTGTAACGCGATTTCTGATTCGCTTACAGCGGCGCGAAGAGAAATAAGTCAGATAAAAAATTCCACCAAAACATTAATGGGAGTTTTAGTAATGCAGAGGGCGACCGGTTGTTCTTCTTACAGAAATATAATAAAAATAATTAAAATAACTAGCATTGTGGATAGCTTTATTATAACTCAAACTTATATAGAAAAACCAAATATAACAACGGAAAATTACTCTATTACATGGCTATCGTGTTATCCAATAAATACACCGTTGTTGTTTTTTATTCATTTATTTTTTTGTCGTTAGTTCAATGCGACCTCTGAATTAAGATAATTAACATTTCTTCGTTATCGGATTGAAAAAGCATTAAATTTCAAATGAAATTTATGAACTCGCCCTGAAGCTGGAATGAAACCAACTTCACTCCTTTCGTAAATATCCGATGAAATAGAAAATCTCTTAATGGTACCTATTACCAACGACCCTTAGACGTTCTACAGTGGTTTACTTGTAGGTGCAGGATCGACTCCCGGCGTCAAATCTCTTACCTTAGTCCAAAATAGGTCAAGTTTCAAGTCAAGTTTTATTTTACACTCATGACACACGAGGTTGACGTTGTTAGCATCTTATAAGGTATACAACCAGCCTTAGAAAAGAAAGCATGTACCGGAGTTGGTACCCTGTGTTCCTTCCTCCTGGCAAAGAGGTCACGAGTTAATTACCGCTCACAGCGGTTGGCTATTGCCGTTGACACGTTACACTGATTGTTCCAGTCTATCCAGCTGTACAAATAGGTATCAAATATACTTACTAGACAAAAATAATCATCTTTGAAAAAGTCATTGTATATTAATGTTTTTGTAATACGTATACAAAAGCAACTTTTGTGATTAAAAAATGCGTACTTATATCCATTAAAAATAAGTGTTTTTTGATGTTGAATGAACAATGAATATAATTATGTCTTGTTCAGTTTCTACCGTACATTACGATCTAAATTTGATGATCGTCAATATTACTGTCCGCAGGCTACGGACATGCAATACACTGATTGGATTGAAAGATGAACGTATTGCCTACACATATGATGCACTTGTAAAATTTGTAAATAGATACAGTATGCCAAAAAAAAAAAATACACTACATCAAATAGTTGTTGCGTCCTTCTATGACTCATTGGTGATGCTAGTGGCAAAAAATTGGAAATCCAAAATGGCTTATCTATCGTAGAAACCGAGGGGCAGGTGCGTTCGACACCTCAATTTATGAATTTCAAAATTTGGAGGAGTAGAACTGTAAAAGATGTGCATTTATTAGGTTGCCTTAAAAGCGTCAGCTGTAGGGAATTTCCCTTTAGCTCAGCGATAGAGCATCAGGCTGGAGAGCCAATGATCGCGCCCCAGCGACGGCACTATATATATATATCTTTATCACTATTCTTCGTCCTACAACAGAACTACTGGTTAATTCCAAATTAAATAGTTCCAAAAGTGTGTATATTTTGAACCGTGCCACTAGTCTAGAGAGATAACTGTGTCCATCAAGGTACGATGTTATCTGTAGATGTCTGGCACTGATACAAATTGTGTCAACCATATTTTCTTCGTTGGCCTTCCTACTTTCCTTGATTTGAAGGAACGGACATATCAAGTGGCGTTCGTGGTGCAGGAAAGCTACTTCTCTGGATGTATACCGGCTAAATCTCTTTTAGTTTTCAGCTGTTGTCTTTGAGTTCTGATTTTTTTCCCTTGAGTCTCGACTGTGTTTTACTTGTTTAACCAGGAAATAAATGTATATTACCAGTTTAAAGGAATTTGTTTTGTGTGTTATCAAAGATTTTTTTAACTTTATGCAGTCCATAAGGGAGATAATTAATGATAGTTTGGTCCGCTAGGTGGCGTTTTATGTAGCAGACGACAAGCTTCCGTGATGAACAGACTTGACAAACCCAGGAAATCGTGGCGAGCTATTGATGAATTTCAGGAGGCAATCTACTGCGACGTTAGGAAAAGGACGTCACCACAAGATAGAGAGTAAGTGGTTCCACATACATGTATTGCCGGATCTGTTCAAGGACCACAGGAGTGGACGGACACATCCCTCTTTTGCACACAGGGACATGAGATGGTTAACAGTTTTAACTAAGCTAATTTGTAAGGGGTTTAAATGATGTTAATCGCTGGGTTGGCAGTTTACTGAAAGTTGACCTAAGCCTCTAAAACTTTGATATTACCATGAACACATCAGAGGTCACTACTTTATAAATGTATGTGCCTTTAAACGTAGCCACTCCCGAGTCCTCCGAAAAAATAATGTTAAAAAAAACTAAATACTCCAAAAGAAAGATGTATCGTTTCGCCGAAAGTGTTCATGCGTTATATACTTCCACGCCACCATTCTATCAAGCTTCATTTTGTAACAGTTATATCCCTATCTCATGACAACGAGCGCATCGAACTGACAAAAAATACCTGCGGTTCGGCCGGAAAACTTAAGAATGTATTTCTCCTTCAGATAAACACGCATTCATGTACAATTTTGCTTAATACGCTTCTTATCTTGTTCAAAATGACCATATTCCTGAAAAAAAGTCATTTGTGTCGTCTGTGGAACGCACAAGAAATGAGACCACGCCAATTTGTTCCACTGCCGAAGCGGAAAGGAGACATGCATTTATGTCACTGTTGGGAAAATTCGATTTTCATTATTTTTTAATGAAAAAGGAGGGAAAATAATTCAATCCTAAAAGAACAGAAATTAGACTATGCACAAAAATTTATAAGATTCTAAATAAAGGAGGTAAAAAAAATATATGAAACTCTACAGTATTAATCATTTTAAGAAAATCTTTGTTTTGATAATAATTCTGATGAAACCTGCTGTTGCTGGTCACCGTAAAGTGTATTCGAGTTGTCTTTTACCGAACACTGAATCAAATTTGCCACAAGGAAACATTTTAAAAGAAAAACATACTTTGGCTAAAAGCGAATGTTATCGTTAAACACCTTTCATATGTATTTCATGTATCATTTCGAATGCAAAGAAAAGCATGCCAATAGACTGAAAAATAATTATTACTTATACTTCTGTGTGTGTGTGCGTGTGTGTGTGTGTGTGTGTGTGTGTGTCTGTGTGTCTGTTTGTCTGTCTGTCTGTCTGTTTGTGTCTGTATGTCTGTCTGTCTGTATAATACAAGTATTATTGTTAATGGTGTAAAATGTATATTCATTAAACTTAGTAATAATTGGCATTTATGTAAACGCAATCAAGATAACATTGCCGAGGAGTTACCTCCCGTCTCTGTTAGTATGTTGTTTGTGTATCGTATACAGACATGTATATGTTACTTTCTGTGTTCTGTATGCATGTCATGAGATATCACTCTCCACATATGTATGTAATATTATGTATTATATTTATGTATGCCTATGGGTCGTAAGGCCCCCGGAATAAACTTGAATTGAAAAAACAAAACAAAAAACAAAACAAAAAAAGCACACTGTCCGTTTTCAATTGGTAGGTCACGTGTACCTTAGAGCCCTCGGTAATTTTAACTGTTTTGTTACAGTATGAGTACGAATTCCACGATTGCTTCCTAAGGGCGAGAAAACCGATGACACAAGGTTACATTTATAAACAGCAATGCCATGTCGATGAACAAGAACGCTGTAATATACAATATGGCTACACAGTTCACAAAGTATAACAGTTCAACTTGAGAGCATCGCTAAATGCATGCTGAGAGTGACAGATAACGGTGACAGATTTCCCGGGTAGATATAGTATTTTCATTTCATTTTTGATTTGTGAGAGCCGGGAATTACTCGACATGTAATTGTTACATGCAACATATTAGGCAGATAAAATGGCTACATTTGCTTAAAAATCAATTTTGATTTAGAATATGTCTTGTAAAATAAGCATGCTGAAGCACACATGTATATGAACAGTGTCCCATTTTGGGTCCCTCAATAATAAGTAAGCGGATAAAAAGTAGTGACAATTCTGTTTTTTAAACGAGATAGACTGATAGAGCTATCAGATCGTAATGTAAAACAAGCGAATTATAAATGTTTTTTTCGCTTTTTGGGTGTTTTGGTGTTTTTTTAGGATTTAATTGTAACATGCAAGTAATGTACTGAGATTATAATCTGAAACTTTCTAATCTGCAATGCTGACATGTAAGCACAACCAGTGCAATTTCAGTAAAAGTAGACAACTCTATTATGACGCCAAGAATTCTAATAGCATGACCTTACAATACCCTGTTTCATTCACGAAAACAGTTATTGTACAATTCTCCGGAGATCTTAATTATTATGAGGCATGTACGCAAAAACTTTTAAGTTTGAACAGACACCAAAAGGAGGCCAATTGAGGGCGAACATCACGCTGAGGGTCCCTGCTGTCGTGATAGAAAAGTAATAGACATTTTGAAATCTACCATCTAAAAGTACCACCGTGTTTTTGAGAATCGATTGCGTTTCATATACATTTTGACCCCGTCTATCTGGATTGTGTGTCTCATTCTACGGACAACAAAATTACAAAAAAAGGTGTCCGAAAAGTAATTTTCTTATTTGTATTGTTTTTTAACGTCGTGTGATTATTTTCCTACTTGTCAAATATATAGATAAGTGAGACTTTTTCTCAAACCTTTTTTCTTCGGTCAATTTAACAGGTGTAATACAATTATATTAGAATTGGGAAATATTTGAACTTTTTTTTATTTATTTAAGACCTGAGCCTTCTAAAGGAATCGTCCTTCACAAAATAGAAAACGTCGTCCTTAGTTTGGTACAACAGATTAGTAGTGGAGAGCCCCCAACATTGGTCTCCAACAGTCGGACGTCCTGGGACAATATCAGGTAGGATTTCACAACATTGGTCTCCAACAGTCGGACGTCCTGGGACAATATCAGGTAGGATTTCACAACATTGGTCTACAACAGTCGGACGTCCTGGGACAATATCAGGTAGGATTTCACAACATTGGTCTACAACAGTCGGACGTCCTGGGACAATATCAGGTAGGATTTCACAACATTGGTCTACAACAGTCGGACGTCCTGGGACAATATCAGGTAGGATTTCACAACATTGGTCTACAACAGTCGGACGTCCTGGGACAATATCAGGTAGGATTTCACAACATTGGTCTACAACAGTCGGACGTCCTGGGACAATATCAGGTAGGATTTCACAACATTGGTCTACAACAGTCGGACGTCCTGGGACAATATCAGGTAGGATTTCACAACATTGGTCTACAACAGTCGGACGTCCTGGGACAATATCAGGTAGGATTTCACAACATTGGTCTACAACAGTCGGACGTCCTGGGACAATATCAGGTAGGATTTCACAACATTGGTCTACAACAGTCGGACGTCCTGGGACAATATCAGGTAGGATTTCACAACATTGGTCTACAACAGTCGGACGTCCTGGGACAATATCAGGTAGGATTTCACAACATTGGTCTACAACAGTCGGACGTCCTGGGACAATATCAGGTAGGATTTCACAACATTGGTCTACAACAGTCGGACGTCCTGGGACAATATCAGGTAGGATTTCACAACATTGGTCTACAACAGTCGGACGTCCTGGGACAATATCAGGTAGGATTTCACAACATTGGTCTACAACAGTCGGACGTCCTGGGACAATATCAGGTAGGATTTCACAACATTGGTCTACAACAGTCGGACGTCCTGGGACAATATCAGGTAGGATTTCACAACATTGGTCTACAACAGTCGGACGTCCTGGGACAATATCAGGTAGGATTTCACAACATTGGTCTACAACAGTCGGACGTCCTGGGACAATATCAGGTAGGATTTCACAACATTGGTCTACAACAGTCGGACGTCCTGGGACAATATCAGGTAGGATTTCACAACATTGGTCTACAACAGTCGGACGTCCTGGGACAATATCAGGTAGGATTTCACAACATTGGTCTACAACAGTCGGACGTCCTGGGACAATATCAGGTAGGATTTCACAACATTGGTCTACAACAGTCGGACGTCCTGGGACAATATCAGGTAGGATTTCACAACATTGGTCTACAACAGTCGGACGTCCTGGGACAATATCAGGTAGGATTTCACAACATTGGTCTACAACAGTCGGACGTCCTGGGACAATATCAGGTAGGATTTCACAACATTGGTCTACAACAGTCGGACGTCCTGGGACAATATCAGGTAGGATTTCACAACATTGGTCTACAACAGTCGGACGTCCTGGGACAATATCAGGTAGGATTTCACAACATTGGTCTACAACAGTCGGACGTCCTGGGACAATATCAGGTAGGATTTCACAACATTGGTCTACAACAGTCGGACGTCCTGGGACAATATCAGGTAGGATTTCACAACATTGGTCTACAACAGTCGGACGTCCTGGGACAATATCAGGTAGGATTTCACAACATTGGTCTACAACAGTCGGACGTCCTGGGACAATATCAGGTAGGATTTCACAACATTGGTCTACAACAGTCGGACGTCCTGGGACAATATCAGGTAGGATTTCACAACATTGGTCTACAACAGTCGGACGTCCTGGGACAATATCAGGTAGGATTTCACAACATTGGTCTACAACAGTCGGACGTCCTGGGACAATATCAGGTAGGATTTCACAACATTGGTCTACAACAGTCGGACGTCCTGGGACAATATCAGGTAGGATTTCACAACATTGGTCTACAACAGTCGGACGTCCTGGGACAATATCAGGTAGGATTTCACAACATTGGTCTACAACAGTCGGACATCCTGGGACAATATCAGGTAGGATTTCACAACATTGGTCTGCAATAGTCGGACGTCCTGGGACAATATCAGGTAGGATTTCACAACATTGGTCTACAACAGTCGGACATCCTGGGACAATATCAGGTAGGAGCCCCCAACATTGGTCTACAACAGTCGGACGTCCTGGGACAATATCAGGTAGGAGTTCACAACATTGGTCTACAACAGTCGAACGTCCTGAAACAATATCAGGTAGGATTTCACAACATTGGTCTACAACAGTCGGACATTCTAGGACAATATCAGGTAGGATTTCACAACATTGGTCTACAACAGTCGGACATTCTAGGACAATATCAGGTAGGATTTCACAACATAGGTCTACAACAGTCGGACGTCCTGGGACAATATCAGGTAGGATTTCAAAACATTGGTCTACAAAAGTCGGACGTCCTGGGACAATATCAGGTAGGATTTGTTTTTGTTTTGCTAAATCAATTTAAACACGTCATCGACTGACCAAGCATGGTACAGAAATCAATTGACCTTCGATTTTGACCTATTATAATAGGAACTAGAGACCTAGTAGAAAAAAAATCATGTAATTTAAAAGTTTGGAATAACTGGCACGCTCGATATTTTTCTTTGTGAATGTTGAGGTTGCTTAAGTTGGGAAGAAGTGGTGCAGGGGAAGGGGAAATTCTGAATTTTGGGAAAAAAATTGAGAAGTACATCATATATTGGTGTAGATTCTTGTACGTGTTCATATTTTTTCTAGGCTGAGTTTGTTATTATTATTTTTTTATGAAAAAAAGAGACGGTCACATTCAGATTCATGACTATTGTTTCAGTTTTGAGGAAGACTATGGACTGAAGATGGAAAAACAACTGAAAATGACATCAGTCAGATTTAGCTCTCAAACATCTGTAAAGAAACTCGGTAGGTGTGAGATATTAACAAGCTATACTATTATTGCGGTTGGCATCCGTACCGAAAATTGATACAAACCCCTAAAATAAGTTATACCATCATTGTAGTGATATCTTTATCGAAAGATGATCTAAACCCATAAAACGAGTTTAGATCGTAGATGCCACATCATTTCGGTGGCATTTTTACCGAAAGTTGGACGTCTTATACTACCTTGAACTCACCAGTTTAGGTTCAAACATATAGCTAAACAGTAACCAATTCGCATGTCCCTGTGCTTTTATGAACGCTATAACGAGCAATTGAGTTTTATTCGCCACATGGGCCGGGTATATCATATTGGTCCGGCCCCTGTGGTCAAAACACATTGCTTACATTTATTTACATATGCCCCTCATACGTGTATCATATTGGTTGGGCCCTGTGGTCAGAAGACCCATTGCTTACATTTATTTACGTATGCCCCTCATACGTGTATTATATTGGCCGGGCCCTGTGGACAGAAGACACATTGCTTACATTTATTTACATATGCCCCTCATACGTGTATCATATTGGCCGGGCCCTGTGGTCAGAAGACAATGTACAGGGTAGTGTACATAAGACCGATCCTTTACTTTGTGACAGGCCTGATGTTAAAAGTCCTGGGTGTCATATACAGACTGGTACAGACAGGAAAACACTGCACCAAAAGGTCAGTATTTCTACAAGACAGGAATAATGGTGAGACATATGTAGCACTAGCAACGTGCTCATCGCGATTATTAGAAGTGTATACAATACATTATATATAGGATTGCTTCTACGTAATGGAAAGCTTGTTCTCTGTCTTTGTTTTTTCTAATCACTTAGCCATGGCTAGGTTTGCCTCCATGTTGATACATTCATGCAAGATTGTATTCACTTCAGAAATATATATAAAAAAAATACTATGTTACACACTGAAATACAATGTAACACACTGAAATACTATGTAACACATTGACATACTATGTTACACACTGAAATACTATGTAACACATTGAAATACTATTTAACACACTGAAATACTATGCAACACACTGACATACTATGTAACTCACTGAAATACTATGTTACTCATTACATATCAATATAAACTGTATTTACACGTTTAAACCCACCGTTTGGATTTTTGCTCCAGAGACATCTATTACCAGGATGTGTCGGGGTTCGGGAGTCAGGCGCAACTGGACGAGGTGGTGGACAACCTCTCCTGTCTACTGGACATACCGCGATGGGGCCTGCACGTGGTGAGTCCGAGTCTCCCCTTAGCCTTCAGCACGGCCGACAGGGATACGAATCAGCACAAACGCTCTAGCGGCTGCCCACCCTCCATACCCCATGTGTAACGCTCACTATATCGTCGTGCGTCGTGCGGCGTGCGTTAACTTTTCCTTGTGAGCACGATATCAGTTATTGTTAATCGAGTTTGATGAAACTTTGTATGCAGCCATATATCAAAAAGATATCGGTCGAATTCGAAAATGGGAATTATTCGAAAGTAACTTACAGAGTAATTGCCCTTTGTAATATTATTATTGGACCTTGTGAACACGATAACTTGAGTAAATGTTAACCGAGTTTGATGAAACTTTGTATGCAGCCATATAACAAAAAGATCTCGGACGAGTTCGAAAATAGGAATTATTCGACGTAACTTACAGAGTTATAGCCCTTTGTATTATTATTGGACCTTGTGAACAGGATAACTTAAGGAAATGTTAACCAAGTTTGATGAAACTTTGTATGCAGCTTTGTATCAATGAGAATTTGGATGAGTTTGATTACTGGACCAATTTGACCAATCGGTTCATATTTACTGAAGTTATTGTGTTCACAAGGAAAAATTAATGGACGATGCAGCAAGGTCACTCAGACCGACGAAAAGTATGAATTGGCCCCTGGATGACAGTCCTAATTTGAATCGGATGTCAGGTGACCGTTAAGGCCCATGGGCCTCTTATTTCTCAAAATAGCCAACATATCTTTAGAAGGATCGCACAGCATGTGTTATTGTTACGACTTGTAGTATCTATATAAATGTTTAGAAAGAAATTAAGTAGGCTTTACAAGTCATGCTCTGAATTCCATTTATATTTCTTTTAGTTAGCTTCCTCTAAAGGGTGCGTAGCCGGGGATTTGTCGTTTCAAGATGGCGACGGGAACTTAGTCGACTGTAAATCCACTCGTACGGTAAGATCAGTTACAGCGTATTTGACGAAAAAAACCAGCGGTGCCAGATGGAACATAACACCTTCAACATGAATCCTAGCAGCACTTCGAATTCGTCACACGTTCGAATGGCATTCATATTGACTATGAGTGCCAACTGAAGGCAATTCAGTTATTAAATAAAATGTCCCTGACCCTCCCAAACCCTACCACCAATGATGTATGCAATTTTCTCTCACAGTCACTTAAAGTTCACCTTATGCCAAGTCCCACCTACATATTTCCTCCATTTATATTTTACATAAAGTATGTATACTATTATTTCAAATAGTCAAACCCCTACTCATGGATTTGCGTTTGAGTTTATGCTATGCGTCAGCTTTAAGTGCGCATGTTTTTTTCAAACATCCACTAGTGATAGTAAGTATGTATAAAACAACATAATATCACAGTACGGTGTATGCTAACTTTTCTATTTCAGGGTGTGATGGTTCCTAATGACGTTAGATCTTTGAGTTATATCCTTTATAATGAAAATGCCTTACCGAAACTCATGGGGGGGGGNACACTACACGTATGCATCTTGCACACAGGGGAGGCCGTCCTTCAATAACCATAGCTATTGCTAAACATTTTCTTCAGGTTGGCAAGTATGGATTATGAGAAGTTCTTTTTACACAACCAATAAAATTGTCTATGTGACGTTTCGATGACTAGTACGATATGTACACTGTCACCTTCATCGGAAAAAATGACCAATGAAGCGTATGCACACAAAGGTGTAAAATGTGTACGAGTTGACCATAAAATCGATGTCAATTTCGGCTACGCTGGAAACGTAGATTCACCAGATCCGAAAGAAAACAGTCGGAGTCCAAAATAAATAAATCGGCAATCACGAGAGAACAATCTGTTCGAGCGGCAGATAAAGGAAGTCATCTGGATACGCCGCACTGGGCCAGTTCTAAATCGAGATGAGGGGGCTCATAGACTCTCGCACATCTATGACCAAGTGTTAACAAAGCGTAGCTGAATTGAGCCATTTCGGTACATATATAACAACTATTGTACATACGTTTCCAGCGTAGACGAAATCGACATCGATTTTATGGATAACTCGTACACATTGTTCACCTTTGTGTGCATACGCTTCATTGGTCATTTTTCTAATGAAGGTGACAGTGTACATATCGTACTAGTCATCGAAACGTCACATAGAAATTTTTATTGGTTGTGCATAAAGAACTTCTTATAAAAAAATAACCATAGCTGTTGATAGGACGTTAAACAATACTAAACCAAACCTTGATACACACTCACATTAACCTGATATACCCACACACTGACATGACACATCCACGTCCTTGATACCTCGACACGCCTGCATTTTACGTTCTTATGACCTTGACACATCCACGATCTCATGACTTTGACATGCCTTCATATGGACACGACACGCCTACAAAAATGTAACATGCATACACATTCACATCCGTACGACACGGTCACAGATTGTGTTTAGTTATTCGCATACAAATATATTTGATCTACAATACCATTATACACTGCCTTGTGATCCTGGCGTCTGTTGCCATATATATTCCCTTATTTTGACCTTTGACATTCGATTCTCTTATACATATTCATATTACTATGACCTTGACATTCTTACATTTGCATACGGATGCGTCGTTTATTCTCGTTGTGGAGAAGGATGCCACCTTTCAGAATCTCATTGACAACGGATTCTGCACCAAGCTTGGTCCAGCCATACTCATTACGGTATGTCATCTCCATTTATAACTGTTCGTTCTTTTCTTTGCTTGTTCTCTGGCGCAACATGTATTCACATTATACATCACACATGTTCTTTGCAGGGTAAGGGATTTCCCGACGTGAATACCCGGATGTTGCTTAGGAAGCTATGGGATTCCTTCCACATACCAGTCATGGTGTTGGTGGATGCTGATCCTCACGGTGCGTCACAGACTCACTTACACATGTTTCTTGCTTTTCATATCTTCTAACTTGTGATGTCCACTTTTCTCATTCGTTTTTGTCGATGTTACAATGCTGGAGATTGTTGACTTGGATGAAGCCCACTACTCTTATTTATGTTAATTCTCGATTCATTTAAATCTTGATATAATGCCCCTCGTTTCATTTGTCACCTAATGATATATAACACCCCAACATGTTATTAATGTCACTTTTGCATCTTTCACGACGAATTGCCAAACATCTGTAGGACAAATTTCGCTCGACAAATGATGGCATTATAACGTGGTTTTACTATATGTGGTCCAAATCACAGGGACCTGAGAATTTGTTACAGCTATTTTTGGCCCTAATCTAAGGTGTTCAGAGTAATTTTAGACGTTTTAGGGGTTTACGAATTCTCCAGTCCATGTGGTCCATGTGGTCCAAATGGCAGTATCCGTAAACGCGAACTGGTTTCGACCCAACACATACTATCTCCTCTTAGATATGTTGATCGAAACCACTGGTAAGCGAGTCATTGCCAATGTCGATATTACATTTCTGTTGTAGGTATTGAGATTATGTCCATCTATAAGTACGGATCCAGGGTAAGTTTTCCGTTTGTCGTTACATATATATTTTGTTCACAATGATTCAACTAGAGAGAACCGTAAAATTAAGGGGTGGCGGGCGTGTGGCACATAAACGCAAAAATAAATACTGACGAAAATACACTAATTTGTAGTAATCTCGTCTGTTTAGGCCTTATCTCACGAATCCAGCTACCTCACTGTACCTTCCCTCGGGTGGATAGGTGTCTTGCCCAGTGACGTCACAAGGTACGGTATGCTGCTTTGCCAATGGCAATGCTTATTCTTATAAACAATTTAAGTGTTTAGAAATGTTTGTAAAAAGGGTTGCGTATCAATCCACGGTTGAACAGGACCGACAATAGGTGTTGCGAATTAATTATCTGGTTAAAATCAACAATGAAATTTACAACATTACTGAATTGAAATGCGTTTACCGTCTTTTAAAATAATATGCAGACACGTTTCTTGCAGACTTGCATAGATTTATATGTAGGATTAATTCCAGACAAAAAAAATTGGTTTTAATCTTGCCCGGGACACGGATATAAGTTTTCATGGTATTGTACTATTAAACCAACGAAAACGAAGAAACTGCCGTCCAAAGAATATGTTAACGGTCGTGAAAGTCTGTCGTGTTATCTCTGTATTCCATTACCAGGTTGGGTATTGGTCGGGCGGATCTACTACCAATGACCAAGGCTGACCGCGAAAAGGTGGTCGAGCTGAAATCTCGTCCGTACTACAGCCAGTCCGCTGCTTTCCAAAGGGAGGTAAGGCCTAAGTGACGTATGTACTGAATGGAGTATGCGCCTGTAGTGATTAGATAGAGGTATATAACGTCCCTACTAAACATCTATAATATAACGTCCATACTAGATCAATGTAACGTATGCCATCCACACAAGATAACGGTAGTATATAACGCCTGGACTATACGTAGTTAAAAAAAGCTATATGAAGCGCCTGTATTAACACTATATTGTAACGTCCGTAGTTAGGAATAGCTATATGAAACGCCTGTATTAACGCTACATTGTAACGTCCGTAGTTAGATAAAACTAGCTGAAATATCAGTATTTACATTGTAACGTCCTTGCATGCAGAGGCAGTTTTGTTATTAGATCTAGATAAAGCTATTATGTAACGTTCGTCAGAGATAGATAAAACGTCCGTAATTGATGAAGCACTAGACCTGTATCTACCGTCAGTGTATGCTTTATGTAACGCCCGTACTAAACGAAGCTGCTAGTATGTTACATCCGTATCCAATAAAACATGTACGTTAAGTCCGAGATGAGCTAGTATGTTACATCCATACATCAATAAGCTAGTCTGTAACGTCCGAACTAGATAGACCAATTACGTAATGTCGAACTAGAGCTAGTCTGTAACATCCGTACATGGTCGAGCTAGTATGTTACGTCCGTACTAGATACAGCTAGTATGTTACGTCCGTACATGATCCAGCTAGTATGTTACGTCTGTACTAGATAGAACAATTACGTTATGTCCGAACTAGAGCTAGTTTGTAACGTTCGTACATGATCGAGATAGTATGTTACGTCCGTACTAGATAGATCAATTACGTAATGTCCAAATATGATCGAGCTAGTATGTTACGTCCGTACTAGATAGATATACGTAATGTCCAAACATGATCGAGCTAGTATGTTACGTCCGTACTAGATACAGCTAGTATGTTACGTCCACACGAGATACAGCTAGTCTGTAACGTCCGTACATGATCGAGCTAGTATGTTACGTCCGTACATGATCGAACTAGTATGTTACGGCCGTACTAGATAGATCAAGTACAGAATGTCCGAACATGATCGAGCTAGTATGTTACGCTCGTACATGATCGAGCTATGTTACGTCCGTTCTAGATAGAACAATTACGTAATGTCCGAACCAGAGCTAGTATGTTGCGTCCGTACATGGTCGAGCTAGTATGTTACGTCCGTATTAGATAAAACAATTACGTAATGTCCGAACTAGAGCTAGTATGTAACGTCCGTACATGATCGAGCTAGAATGTTACGTCCGTACTAGATAGAACAATTACGTAATGTCCGAACCAGAGCTAGTGTGTAACGTCCGTACATGATCGAGCTAGTATGTAAGGTCCGTACATGATCGAGCTAGTATGTTACGTCCGTACAAGATAGAACAATTACGTAATGTCAGCACTAGAGCTGGTATGTTACGTCCATAAATGATCGAGCTAGTATGTATCGTCCGTACTAGAAACAGCTAGTTTGTAACGTCCGTACAAGATCGAGCTAGTATGTTAAGTCCGTACATGATCGAGCTAGTAGGTTACGTCCGTACTAGATGGAACAATTACGTAATGTCCGAACTAGAGTTTGTCTGTAACGTCCGTACATGATCGAGCTAGTATGATACGTCCGTTCTAGATAGCACAATTACGTAATGTCCGAACTAGAGCTAGTCTGTAACGTCCGTACATGATCGAGCTAGTATGTTATGTCCGTAAATGGTCGAGCTAGTATGTTACGTCCGTACTAGATGGAACAATTACGTAATGTCCGAACTAGAGCTTGTCTGTAACGTCCGTACATGATCAAGCTAGTATGTTACGTCCGTACATGGTCGAGCTAGTAGGTTACGTCCGTACTAGATGGAACAATTACGTAATGTCCGAACTAGAGCTTGTCTGTAACGTCCGTACATGATCGAGCTAGTATGTTACGTCCGTTCTAGATAGCACAATTACGTAATGTCCGAACTAGAGCTAGTCTGTAACGTCCGTACATGATCGAGCTAGTATGTTACGTCCGTACATGATCGAGCTAGTATGTTACGTCCGTTCTAGATAGAACAATTACGTAATGTCCGAACTAGAGCTAGTATGTTACGTCCGTACATGATCGAGCTAGTATGTTACGTCCGTACATGATCGAGCTAGTATGTTACGTCCGTTCTAGATAGAACAATTACGTAATGTCCGAACTAGAGCTAGTATGTTACGTCCGTACATGATCGAGCTAGTATGTTACGTCCGTACATGATCGAGCTAGTATGTTACGTCCGTTCTAGATAGAACAATTACGTAATGTCCGAACTAGAGCTAGTATGTTACGTCCGTACATGATCGAGCTAGTATGTTACGTCCGTACATGATCGAGCTAGTATGTTACGTCCGTTCTAGATAGAACAATTACGTAATGTCCGAACTAGAGCTAGTATGTTACGTCCGTACATGATCGAGCTAGTATGTTACGTCCGTACATGATCGAGCTAGTATGTTACGTCCGTTCTAGATAGAACAATTACGTAATGTCCGAACTAGAGCTAGTATGTTACGTCCGTACATGATCGAGCTAGTATGTTACGTCCGTACATGATCGAGCTAGTATGTTACGTCCGTTCTAGATAGAACAATTACGTAATGTCCGAACTAGAGCTAGTCTGTAACGTCCGTACATGATCGAGCTAGTATGTTACGTCCGTACATGGTCGAGCTAGTATGTTACGTCCGTACTAGATAGAACAATTACGTAATGTCCGAACTAGAGCTAGTATGTTACGTCCGTACATGATCGAGCTAGTATGTTACGTCCGTACATGATCGAGCTAGTATGTTACGTCCGTTCTAGATAGAACAATTACGTAATGTCCGAACTAGAGCTAGTATGTTACGTCCGTACATGATCGAGCTAGTATGTTACGTCCGTACATGATCGAGCTAGTATGTTACGTCCGTTCTAGATAGAACAATTACGTAATGTCCGAACTAGAGCTAGTATGTTACGTCCGTACATGATCGAGCTAGTATGTTACGTCCGTACATGATCGAGCTAGTATGTTACGTCCGTTCTAGATAGAACAATTACGTAATGTCCGAACTAGAGCTAGTATGTTACGTCCGTACATGATCGAGCTAGTATGTTACGTCCGTACATGATCGAGCTAGTATGTTACGTCCGTTCTAGATAGAACAATTACGTAATGTCCGAACTAGAGCTAGTATGTTACGTCCGTACATGATCGAGCTAGTATGTTACGTCCGTACATGATCGAGCTAGTATGTTACGTCCGTTCTAGATAGAACAATTACGTAATGTCCGAACTAGAGCTAGTATGTTACGTCCGTACATGATCGAGCTAGTATGTTACGTCCGTACATGATCGAGCTAGTATGTTACGTCCGTTCTAGATAGAACAATTACGTAATGTCCGAACTAGAGCTAGTATGTTACGTCCGTACATGATCGAGCTAGTATGTTACGTCCGTACATGATCGAGCTAGTATGTTACGTCCGTTCTAGATAGAACAATTACGTAATGTCCGAACTAGAGCTAGTATGTTACGTCCGTACATGATCGAGCTAGTATGTTACGTCCGTACATGATCGAGCTAGTATGTTACGTCCGTTCTAGATAGAACAATTACGTAATGTCCGAACTAGAGCTAGTCTGTAACGTCCGTACATGATCGAGCTAGTATGTTACGTCCGTACATGATCGAGCTAGTATGTTACGTCCGTTCTAGATAGAACAATTACGTAATGTCCGAACTAGAGCTAGTCTGTAACGTCCGTACATGATCGAGCTAGTATGTTACGTCCGTACATGATCGAGCTAGTATGTTACGTCCGTTCTAGATAGAACAATTACGTAATGTCCGAACTAGAGCTAGTCTGTAACGTCCGTACATGATCGAGCTAGTATGTTACGTCCGTACATGATCGAGCTAGTATGTTACGTCCGTTCTAGATAGAACAATTACGTAATGTCCGAACTAGAGCTAGTCTGTAACGTCCGTACATGATCGAGCTAGTATGTTACGTCCGTACATGGTCGAGCTAGTATGTTACGTCTGTTCTAGATAGAACAATTACGTAATGTCCGAACTAGAGCTAGTATGTTACGTCCGTACATGATCGAGCTAGTATGTTACGTCCGTATTAGATAGAACAATTACGTAATGTCCGAACTAGAGCTAGTGTGTAACGTCCGTACATGATCGAGCTAGTATGTTACGTCCGTACATGATCAAGCTAGTATCTTATGTCCACACGAGATACAGCTAGTATGTTATGTCCGTATTAGATAGAACAATTACGTAATGTCCGAACTAGAGCTAGTGTGTAACGTCCATACATGATCGAGCTAGTATGTAACGTCCGTATTAGATACAGCTAGTATGTTACGTCCGTACATGGTCGGGCAAGCATGTTGCATCCGTACTAGATAGAACAATTACGTAATGTCCGAACTAGAGCTAGTTTGTAACGTCCGTACATGATCGAGCTAGTATGTTTCGTCCGTACTAGTTTGAACAATAACGTAATGTCCGAACTAGAGCTAGTCTGTAACGTCCGTACATGATCGAGCTAGTATGTTATGTCCGTACATGGTCGAGCTAGTATGTTACGTCCGTACTAGATGGAACAATTACGTAATGTCCGAACTAGAGCTATTCTATAACGTCCGTACATGATCGAGCTAGTATGTTACGTCCGTTCTAGATAGAACAATTACGTAATGTCAGCACTAGAGCTGGTATGTTACGTCCATACATGATCGAGCTAGTATGTATCGTCCGTACTAGAAACAGCTAGTTTGTAACGTCCGTACAAGATCGAGCTAGTATGTTAAGTCCGTACATGATCGAGCTAGTAGGTTACGTCCGTACTAGATGGAACAATTACGTAATGTCCGAACTAGAGTTTGTCTGTAACGTCCGTACATGATCGAGCTAGTATGATACATCCGTTCC